GGCTGGAGAGGTAGCTCAGTGGTAGAGCACCCCGGGTTCTATCCTGGGTGTGTGTGGGGCGGGGGTAATAGCCAAAGGAATTCAGGGCTTGGAAAACAGGGAAGCTCGTCGAAGAAAGTACAAAACTCCTCCTGGGAAAAATTCGCCAAGAATCGCCCCCTCCCCACGTGTTAGTGGTCCCTAGCGGGTCCAAGGTGAAAGTAGCCCCTCCTCACAAGCCTCAAGTACCGCCACTATGGGCCACGAGGGCTCCCACCGGTGTGTTTGCTTGGACTGGACTGAAATTTCCCCTCTCCGCCGCCTCGGGCACGAGCCAGTGTTGTTTAGTGCGGGGGCGGGGGTGGGGGGCTTACGCAGGTGGTGCGCGCATCGCAGGTGGAAGGTGTCACAGCCGTGCACGTGGTGGTACAAGGTCTTCTCAATCAGGTCCTGAGGTTCGTAACCGGTCAGCTCCGCCACCCTGGGAGAGCAATCCCCGCCCAGGGGCATTGAGTGCTGGGGCTGTTGCTGACTCCCCACAGCCCTCCCAGACCTAGAAGGACCTGGTCAGTCGCCTAATCTGCAAGATGGGCTCCATCGGTCCCGGAAAGTTCCTGGAGCAGTAGGGCGGCCCTGCACTAGGGGGCTGCCCGCGCACCTGGAGTCCAGGAAGATGAGCTTCATGTCGAGGCTAGCGCGGAACATGAACATGTTGCTGTGCAGCTTGATCTCGGTGACCGCACTAGGAGGCAGCGAGTGGCCCACGGCCACCAGGCCCACGTTCTGGTAGCAGCCGTCGAAGGGGGACATGTCCAGGCTGTACTGTCGGATCTTCAGGTAGCCGCTGCAGTGAATGACCTGTAATGGAGTGGGAGGGAGTTGAGACGAGGTCAGGCGTTGGTCAGGATGGGAAGGGGTGAAACATGTTGAGACGCTGTTGGGCCAGCAACCATGTTGTGCCATACCCTTCTACTAAACTGTGTCAAGAAAGTAAACAGTGCTCTGAACGCATCTGGGTGACTGTGAAAAACACAGGGGCCTGGGCCCCAAAAACCCCATGGCATCTCCTTCAGGTCTCTGAAACCTGCTTTTTATTGAGACTCCATCACATTCACCAAGTACCACACATTCCAGCTAAAGATCAGATTCTTAGTCTTTTGGAGATCCAAAATCTGACACTGACTAACGCAGGGATCTAAGGGCCTCCTGGGGCCCATCTCAGACTGTGCACAGTATCCAAGGCTAGCCAGACTTTGATTTTAAGTGCAGTCTCCCGGGCGTTCAGGAACCTTAATGGAAGTCCCAACCCACAGCATTCTGACGCTTGTGACCTGCGCGCACTCTGGGCCCAGAATGCAGGAACCACCAGCCGCAGTCTCCTGGTGTTTGACTCCTGGACCACAGGGTGCCCAGAGGCGCCAGTCTTCAGGCTCAGTCACACACCTTGTAGCCACCGCAAGTGAGTCCAGCATTCCGCTTGGCCAAGACACACTTCATCCTCAGGAAGAAGGAGCGCTCGATCTCATACTCTGGGAAAGGAGAGAAGGCTCAAGAGAGACAGGCATAGGCCTGGGTCCGAGATAAGACTAAGGGAAAGCTGCAAGCTGACTCCCACTGGCCCAACCATCATCAAGCATCGTGGAAAACACGTGCCTGCCTTACCTTGCACGAAGTGAGAGTGGTAGGGCTGGTGTGCAGTGAGCACAGCTGTCATCTCGTCGTGGTCTGCTGGGTGAATGTATTCATAAATGCTGTTTCCAGTCAGCTCTACCTGTAAAGAAGAGCATACTGCTGTTTCTGCATTAGAAGAAAGCCCCAAGAAGAAGCTACAAGCTTGGGCTAAGGGGTACTGAAGGTCCATGAAGACAGCCAACAGTCTGGAACTGGCCCTGAGCTCTAATTCCACCTCTCTTGCTTTCTACCTTCTGCTCATTATGTAAACCTCAGCTCCTTTCTCTGGGAATTAATAGTAATAGTGGTAGCAATGATAACTATAGTAGTAGTAGTAGCTCCCTGGCAATGTTGTGGTAAAAAGATCATAAGTATGTGACCGCCTCCCACAGTGTCTGGTTTCTGGTAAGAACTCAAAAAAAGTAAGGCTTGCATGGGCCTGGGTAGAAGCTAAAGGATAAAGAAGTTCAGAAATGGGGAGATTTAAATCTATTTAAAGAATCCTCCTGCCAACAAAGAGGTTTCCAGTCCCAGAAATGTAGATATAAAGAACGGAGGAAACATCACACACAAACTACTGCTTCCAGCTCTGGTTGTAAACACTGCAGGCTGGAAGTGTGGAACACTCACCTACCTGAGAAAGACCCAGGTGCACTGAGGCTGTCTCTGAGATGTACATGATCTTCCCATCTGGGGCCACCACAAAGATGAAGCCATCCAATGTCTGGGGAAGCAGAAATAGAGTCAATGGAGAGGGCTCTGGGCCATCTGGAGAAATGGGGGGAGGGGGAACAGAAATTAGGAACATTCTGCCAGAAGAACAGAGATGGAGTAGAGAGAAACTGTCAGGACACAGGATATAGAACAGCCACAGCACCTCTCCACCCCACCCTGGTTGTTCATTCCAAATTTGTAAGCATAGGGGGCGTGTAGTATGTATCCAGAGGAAATGGTAGATAAGGATAATGCCATACAAAACTCAGGATCCACTGAAATGGACAAAGAAACATCTAAAACAGACACACACACAAGTTCTGGGGGGAAAAATCATAGCCATGGACAAGAGAAGGCTTAGGTCTGTGGAAAGATGATCTTGTGGAAAGACGAAGAGCTCTGTAGTGGTGGCTGCGGCCTATAATGAAAAGAATAGTGGCAGGTCATGGGAGATCCAGTGCAGGAAGCACTGGTCCACAGGGAAGACCAGGCAGTCTGAAGTTTGTAGACAGAAGGTTCCAGAAAGTGTGCAGAATAGGGAGAATACGGGGCTTGGAAGATGAGAGACTGCCTGAACAGCAAGTCCACAGAGTGGTGTCATTGTATTGTATGTTTATGTATATTTACAATGAAGCATCAATCTGACAGTCTCTCCATCGAAGAAAGTTTAGACTTTCCCTATCTGTTTTTTGTTTGTTTTGTTTTGTTTTGTTTTTCATCTGTGAATGAGTCCTCACAGTCCAGCAGTGGAGGCCTAGGGTGAATCAGGTTCTTCCTTCAAGGAGCTGAGGAAAATGGCTTTAAAATAGATTTATCATGACCACATGGCTGAGTAGAAAGTGCCGAATAGGCAGAAGACCTACAAGCTGAGTAACCAGAGGCCAAGAGTAATCTGAGGCTATAAAGGAGATGATTTAAGTGGGAATTTGGAGAAGAAGCTTGGAGAGAAGAGGGCAGGAAGAACATGCTAGACAGAAGTAATAATCATAATGTGGCAAAGGCAGGCATGGTGGTTGGGGGGCGGGTGATGGTTCTGGTGTATTCAGAGGTGATGAGTTTTGTGTTCCAGAGATGAGACAGAGGAAGTATCCCCACAGTGGATTTTGGGAGTTTGGAGTGTCAATCTGAGTAATCTAGAGTTGCTCCTGTAGGCATTAGGGTTCTGATATAGGTTTCCAAGCAGGAGAATACATGCTTAGATGTATTTTTCTGGCAAAGAATAGAGAGTGATCTTTAGATGGAAACAATGGAGATGAAATTCAGACCAGGTAACTGCAGTAGAAATGGTCAAGCCTGAAATCGGGCAGTCACAAAGAGAATGAAGAAGAGGGAGAGTCTAACTCAAAGGTTGCACCGGCAGTGGACTCCATGGAAATTGGTGGCAGAAAGAGAAATTTAGACTTCCAGATTTCAGTAGGGATATAGAGCTCATTAGTCAAGACTAAAAATTCAGAGAAACAGTGAAATTTTCTATGATGGAAGTCTAGGTGCAGGAGATAACGCATTCTTGTCTTGGACATGTTAAACTCTGAATGCATGCAGATTTCCACTTAGAGAAATAAGAAGGAAATATGAAGGAAATAAGTCTGGAGCTCAGAAGAGTATGTGCATTGGACAAACCAGCTGGAGTCACATGGAGAAAAGATTTGAGGTTGTGGCACTGGCTGAGATCACCCGGAGGTCTTGGGACTCAGAAAAGATAAAGAGCTACAGCATTGTGAAAATTGCATCATTTGCAGAATAGCCATGATGAAAACAGCAAAGAATGGGAGAGAAGGGGAGCAAATTCAGAAATAGTGCTATTTTAGGTACAGAGAAAAGAGGGGACTGCTAACTCATCAGCATCAATCACCTCCTCTGGGTCTTTGCCAAAATGTTACCTCAGCGAGGCTCTCACCAACCACCCCCAATTTAAATGGCAAAACTAAAATAGAGCCCCGCCTTTCCCCTTCTTACCAGAGCACGTATGCCACCTGACAACTACTCAGTGCACCTGTGTGGGTTTGTAAGGTGGCTCTGTTTAGAATGCACGCTCGATGAAGGCAGGGCTTTGACCCTCCTGTATTCATGGGATGAACGAGTTCAGGTGGGAAAAGAGATCAGCACCTGATTCTTGGTATCAGAATGTGGTGGTGCTTGTGCAGAGCACAATGGGTGGAGGAGATGTCAGACTGCAGAGATGTAGGGGAGAATGGGAAGTGGAGGGAGTTACTAGAACTGGACATGTAAGTCAGTCCTGCCAGGAGGCTAGAATGAAGAAGAGGAAAGTGACCAGGCAAGAGCTGGAAGGGGTAAGAGATTGGGTTCTGTTCTCTTATTTATTTTGCTGGGAGAAATTAGTTGGGAATATGGGAAAAGTTGGGAAAGATGACATAGGGACACGATAGGTGTTTCAGTAAAGGAAGCTACAGAACCTTTCTAGATAAATGCAAATTTACAGAGGCCAGATCAGTGAGGGAATCCTCTACGCAGCCCTTTCTTTGTTCTGTGAAACTAATATCTTTTTGGTCCCTGGGAGGGAGAAGAGAATGGGTAGCAGTGGGACATGAAAGCTGTTGGGATCCTGCAAACAGATGTGGCCTCTTAGGCTCCGGGCTCCAATGGAAGAGCTGTGCGTGGACTTTTATAATAATAAAGAGGGTGTGGGGGCAGGGACAAGTGTCAAAGCTAAAAATGCCACTGGGGGTTATTATTTAAAATATTTGTTTTGTGATTTAAGTCAGCAACAGGCAATTTAAAACAGTGTGCACTGCAAACAAGAAGGTAATGGGCACCTCACACTGGTTAAACTCATTACCTGAGGGTGTGTTTGTGTGTACCCAAGGGTTTCTACAGAGCCTGAGCAGGTCTGAGACTGGGGTCTCAGGAAGCGAGGGGGGAGGCTGGGAACAACAGGGAGGAGATGAAATGAGTTGTAGATGCAGCTGGATCCGGAATGTATAGGCTTAAAATACTGATGGGCATTACCACCAGATTCCTGTAATTTCCTTTGCAAATCCTTCATTTCAGATAGTTCTGAAGCCTGCCCTCAAGGCCTAGCCCCAGCCATTCCAGTTTTCTGTGTCAAAAGGTGACAAAACTACCCTTTCCCTTTGGGCAAGAGTACTGAAGGGGCTTTGTTGGGCTATTTTCTAAACCCAAAGTCTTAGTTATTCCTTAACCTCCCTCTTGGCTTCATAAAACTCCATCTGCCCATCCACACTCAGCTAAGAGCTGAAGTTTTAACTTTGAAGGAGTCATTGGGCTGAGAGAGAGCCCCATCTACATTGGATCCTGTTTACTTGCTTACAGAAACTAAAAGCCCAGCAGAGCAGTAGGCAGGCACAGGGACCTTGAATCACACGTGCCAACCAGAAGACCTGTGCCTGTACCTGGAGTAAATGGGAGCCCAGTTCACGTCCAACGTTGTCCAGGGGACTTGTGCGACTTGAGTGACCCCATGCCTCCCCTAGCCCTGTGGAGACAGAAACAACTTTTAGCAACACACTCCAGTGCAGCTGGAAGTTTGGGGATTTGTCAGAGTTTAGGTTTGGTTATATATGAGCTCAAGAGAACACCAGTGACCCTCTTCCAGTACCTATCCACTCTGTAACCTGCACAGTGAGAGAGTATAGGGCACAGGAACTTGTAACTTTTGGCCTCTTCCCATTGACTTCTGAGTGGAAATTGTACTTGCCCCACCAGATCAGCCCAGGTTTCTCAGGGATGACAGGTCCTTCTTCCTGCTCAGGCCAAGCAGGATCTCAAGTGGCCTCTGCCTTGGAGGAACCCCAGACACTGCACCCTGCTATAACTTTTGCAGGGGTTCACTAGTATATTCTCAAAGGTGAGAGACACCTGATTTCTCACTCAAAAGTTTTAACATTGTCCTTTATCCTTATCAGGAACCACAGGACATCTCCATACCCAGAGAAAGCTGTTGCCTGCTGCCCCCCCCAAAAAAACTGAGATAATTGGCCAAGTTGGGCTGGTCCCTGATGGCCTTTCTGATTGGCTGTGGGCTTTCTAGTCATTCTCTTCCTTCATCTGTGACTTTAATCCTTTGTGAGAAAACTTGTTTACAGTGGACCTCCAGCTTTCTGCTCACCAGCATCCCTGGCAATTCTCCTTTCCCCTCCTAAGCCCTGTCTTACACACCCCTCACCCTCCCCACTCACCTCCCCAAGGAAAGAGAAGGCCCATGGGCTTTTCCAAAGTCAGTTACTTTTAGGTGCTAATCAATCTCTTAACAATATTTTCCTTCTTCCTGGACATTAGGAATTATTCAATTTCTCTACTTCCCAGGTACCATCTTCTATTAACAAATACAGCTCATTCCTCTCCTTGGTGTTACTAAGTTAGGATCTTTTGAGGCTTTGCCACAAGCCTTAGCATCATTCTGGAGCTGCCTCAAATACAAAGCACTCGAGATTCATTGCTGATTTTTAAAAAATTAGTATAACCTGCTATATTACTGGTGTACAGGAGGAAATTTTTAAAAAGCAGAGGAAATTTGTGCGGACCTATATTAAACTATCTTTTAACAATGGAACTGCTGAAATGATTTCACTAGATAGTTAAGCCCTTTCATTCTTAGAACCATTGAGCAAGGTTGAACATGGCTTTTTTTAAGATGATTTACTTTGTTGGGGGCAAACGAAAAGTAAAGCACACAAGGACAAACACTCCCATTGTAATATGGGACTGGAAAGGATCTTTCACAATAAAACACGGACTTAAACTTTTTTTTTTTTTTTTTTTTTTTGCACCAGGGATCGAACTCAGGTCTTTGAGCTTGCCAGGTGGGCAGCGGAACCACTGAGCTAAATCCCCAGCCAGGAAGTTAAACTTTTTAAAGGTGTTGGCCAGGAACTGCTTCCTAAGCAAGCGATCAAAACCCTAGCTGTGAGCACCTGGAGCGGCCCTTCAGCTCCAATAGGGTCTTTCTGGGTGTTTGCACATCTAAATAAATCTAACGATTTCCCCGCCGCTCAGCAAACAGGAACGCTCCCGCCTGTGACTGGACTCCTCTCCCTCCTTCGCACAGATTGACCCCTCCTGACTCTCACCCCGCCCCAACTACCCTCCCAGCGTGACTCCACTGCCCCCGTCCTTGCCGTCCTCCCGGGCCATTCCAGGAGGGCACGCGTCGCGGTCACCTCTGCGCTCCGTCACGTTCCCTTGGCTCCTCCTGATCCAGCCAGCCTATCCTTGTTTTCGGGCACCTGTACGTTTTTGGTACCTGCTCAAAGGTACCACCCAGAAAGGGGAGGAGGAAGTTGGCAGTGGAGAAAAGGCAAAGGACCCTGCTGAGAGTGACTAGCGCGGAGGTGGCGCCGGCCCTAGGACTCCATTGAAGCCTAGGGAGCCCTGGAACCCCAAGACTTCTCTGGAGCGCAGCCCACACTCACGCGCCCCCGGGGAGGGCTGAGCCGAGCTGTGCGCGTGTGTTGGAAGGCCCCGGAGGGCTTGAAACCTGCCTTGGGGAGGTCAACGAATCTCTTCATATTTTTTTGAGAGTCCCCCGAGTGGCCTAGAGATGGAAATGGTCTGAACGGCCACGAGCTGCGCGGAAGGTGGGAGTGGGAGACTGTTCTGAGCTCGCAGCGCTAACCTGGATGGAGTTGGGCGGCGGCCTCGGCGATGTGCGCCTACGAGGGAAATAAGACTTCCCTCTGGTTAACCAACAGCCCGTCCGGGTGTAGGATAACAAAGCCCTCCCTCCTCTCCCCTGCACACTCCCCGGACACGCACCTTTTAAGGGATCTTTTGTTTTACGGAGCGTTGCTTTCTCTTTTTGTTCCCTGTTGAAATATCTATCCTACGGTTAGGTCTGGGTTAATATTTCCTGAGGCCCTGGCTACCTTGCCTACCTGTCCGGAGCTCCCGGGGTAGTACTAGGGCCGAGCTTGCCCTTCGGGGTGCGGAGAACACCTCCCCAAGCCCGATCGGGGTCACCCCTTCTCAAAAGTCTCCCAGTGACCTCTAGCCTCCCGCCTTCCGTAACGCGCTCCGGCACCCAATTTCCTTTGGCGAGGGGGTAAGCTGAGATTTCGTTTCTGCACTTGACCTACCGCAGAAAATTCGCAAATCCTTTGATTGTCTGTTTAAAATGAGGAGGAAACCAGCTCCCTTTGCGGCGGGATTACAGTGGGAACAAGATCTAAAGATTCTCTTGTAATTCGGTGAGGCCGAGGGAATGGGGTTTTGCAGAGGAGAAAAGGCGCTCTGTGAGGGAGGCGATAACTAAATCGGGTTTTAGACAAAAGGATTTTCCCCAGCTAAAGTGGCCGAAGACAAAGGAAAACATAATCTATTTTGGAAGATTTCCAAGATATGCCACATCAACCTTGGCAGATAAATTTTGCTTTTCCCAGCACCCCCCCCCTTAAAGTCTGGTTTATCATATTTACATAAGTAGCATTACAAGGGATGTATCTATTATGGATCTAAAAGGCTAGCTCGCATTTCATGGGAAAACCCGGGCAAGTTTCACTGTTGCTTTACCCTGGGTGCGCGGTTGAGCCATTTCCATTTAAATACCCCCTGACCCAAGGATTACCTCAATGGACTGACTGCACGGGTTTTGTAATTTCCTGAAAATGAGATTTCGATTTATAAAACAAGAAACCAATTAGTAACCAAATGAGGCGAAGTAGATCCACTAAAATTGACCTAATCCCACAGGCACCATTTAGGCCCGTTCTTGGCGAATGAATGATGAGCCCCAGTCTAGCGTGAGCTCAAAGCATCATCCAGCTGTGTTATTGCAAGCAGCAAAAATAAATTGATCGAGCTTCTCCTTCCAAACGAATTTCATACCCTTGACAACATATAGATTACAGACCAGGCATCCTCACCTCCTTCACTCAGGCAGGAAGAGGAGGAAGAGAAGAGCTTGTTTTACTATTTTGTTTTGTTTTTCCTGATAATACATAAACACAATCTTTCCATAGAAATTATTTCCTTCTTATAGCCCTTTCCAGGGACCTTTCTCTTTCGAATGGATGGCATTAGGCCTTTTGGGCAATGGGATGACGCTGAAGTTAATAAATTGTTCATGGCCACCATCACAACCTGGGGACTGAGGTGGGAAAGACCTCGCAGCTGCTGGTCCCAGCCATCGGGGTCCCTCTTGGGCCAGGGGTCGGGGTGTGGGGGAGACGCTGGCTTCGAAGCAATCCCCAAGACCCCAGATCCCTGGTATCCTGCAGGGCCTGCTCCCACTTGCTGAACGCACAGTCCAGGCGTTTCTCCGGTGGGGCACAAAGTGGCCTCGGTGTTTTCACTCCGCTGCCTGTGAGACTGGGCACTCCGGGAAAGAGAAAGGCACAGAATGGGCACTCCCAGTTGGACTGAGCTCCTGGAGAGGTTTCTGGGCAGAATCCCTTCAAGCACTGGAGCGTACCTGCTTCTACCTGCTCCCATTTATAGTGTTTGGGTCGTCTCGGGCCACGGGGTGAGTGCGGCAGAGCTCCCGAGGGCGGCGGCGCCTACGACTGCAGCGCGTACCCTGCCCGCCGCCCGGGGGCCAGAGACTCAGCAGCCCCACCCCGGGAATGCACTGTGGGGGTGAATCGGGTGAAGATCCACGGTCCCCACGCTGACTTTGCCCTCCGAATGCTCCTTCCGGGCCCCAGCTTAGGGCTCCAGTTCAGGACCTAGCGTGCCAGCCAAGCTATTTACCCCAACCCGAGCCTGCCGCCAATGAAGGAAACCTCAGAAACCAAAGGAGGGCAAAGTTGGGCCAAGTTAAAACTGAAGACAAATGCATAAGGGAGCATGCTGCGCCGTGGACAAGGGTTAATGATTTTTCCCGCGACTTCAGCCTTAAAGTGCAGCGGGGCCTTGGCGATCCCAACCTCCCCAAAGGTCCAGCAAGGCAGAGTCTCAAGGGTAGGACGACCCTTCCCTGTTCTGCTTGGCCTGGGGGCCCCGAGGACTGCACCCAATTCACTCTTCCGGCCTGGCCTTATTGGACAGGATCTCCCCTTAAGGGTTAGACAACCGCCTGAGCAACCGGAAGGGTGGCGGCTGCACCTGGGCACCCGGTGGGGTGGCGCCCGGAGCACTGGGCGGAGGCGTCCTCAGGGCCCTTGTTAGACCCAATTCTGCTTAGAGACAGAGCAGACCTTGTGGCGCTGTGCCACAACCGAGGAGAGGACGGGACGTGCGACGCCAACCCTGAGTTCTTTGGGCTAGGGGAGAGGCCGGATGGAGGTCTCGATCGGATAGAAGTCCCTGGTCTGGCCAGAGCCCAGAAGGTAGAGGACTTGGCGATAAAGCTGCACGCTGTGTGGGGCACCTGCAGCACAGACCTTACTCTGCTGTGGACAGTATGCTGTGTTCGAAAAGTAGAAAGACAGCAGGACCACCTTTAAATAATTAGGGTTCCCTTTCCTCACACAACATTTATAAGTCCTTTAATCAGTGACTGGTAATGTGTGATCCACTAGGGCCATTACATGTTATTGGAGATTAAACCTCATTTTCCTGAGAAGTACTTTCTCTGACAGAGAAGTGCAGCAAGAATCCGTGGGGTTGCTTCTGTAGACCATTTGTCTGTAAAAGTTCATAGCTGTCAACTTTCCAGAACTAAGAAACAACTCCCAGAAAAATCAGCAGTGTCCTTTGTAAATTTAGTTAGTTGGAGTTAGTTTCATGTGGATAACTGTACCCTGTTTTTTAGTCAACCTATGATAACTACTAATCCTGTTTCTTTAAAAAATTTTTAGTAGTGTTCCCTCTCTTTAAAGAAAAAAATGTATTTTTAAAATCAAATCTACAATTTCTAGCACAGAAATCTGCCTTGAAAATGCTTTTAGTTCTGGGCTCCACATTTTAAGTCAACATCAAAACTGGAATTAAACAGAGAAAACCAGCATGGAGCATAAACTGTACTTAAAGACTTTTAAATGAGAAAAACTTCTGTAAGAAAATAAACATTGAAATCCAATGCTCAATCATTTCCCAGAGCAGCAAGAAAAACAGCCTTAAATCACCCATCCACGTGGGAAATGGACCTCTTTTTCTTTTTCAGTTCTCTGCCTTAAAAAATATTTTTAACAAGATTAAGGATTCCAATCTTGAGATGAATGTTCTAGAAAGGATCTGTGAAGTTTTCTCTAATTGTCTTTGACCCTTGTAAGGATTCTTCTTTCCTGAGCAGCTAGTAATTTCAATTCTTTGATTATTTTTTCAGAGACATTTTGACAATGATATGGTAGGGCAATGTTACCACAATTCTGAATAGCAATGGATTTAAAAGCCATGTCTGATCCTTTAAAGTTTATATACATCTCTATGCCACCAGCCAGTATTATGTTAGAGCTGCATAATGGACATATATCTCTTTTAAAATTTGTCCTGTTTTGTGCACATACAGTGTCATGCCATCTCCTTTTTAGCTGCTTCCTGCTTTGATAGCACCAAATATACATTTCTATATACCTCAACTTATCCTCTGCAAAGCTCTTTTAGAATAGAATATATTATGAATTGGGAGATTACACTTTCAATAATTTTACAGTAATCTTCCCAATTTGTTCTTTCTATTAATCTCAAATCTAATGCCAATCTAAAGCTTATTTTTAATTATTCCAGGTACCCATATCCCACTGCTATGTTCTCTTTTTCTCCCCAACTCCCCTGAATAATTCAATATTGCATACTCAGGTAAAATAAGGAAAAACTGAAATATGTCCCAAACAAAAGCTACTAGACACTGGAGTGGTAAAATGTATTCACTGTATTCATCAAGTGAGGGGGGAAAGGGGAAATACCTACATTTTAATGATTTCCTCCCTTTTTCAAATGTAAGTATGTAAGAGTTTTTGTTTTTCATTCAGTTTATAGTCTTTAGGCTAGGGTAAAATAGACAAAAGGTGATACAAATGTAAACTGAGCTTATACATTGTGATGGCTAGAGTTATGTTACCAGATGGGTAATTATTTCAGTCTGTGTATCTTGCAAAATCTATTTTACATGGGACATGATGTTTACCAAGGTAAATAGTTATCTTTAAGAGTAGGTACTAGGATTATTTCAAGATAGATGTAAAGAAGAATTTTATCTTTAGAATCTTATATTTAGATAGCACAAAGTTTACCATCATACTCAGTTTCTTGCACTGCCTTGGACCCCAAACTCACCAGGAGTCTACGTTGAACCCGAATGTGGCACCCCCTGCAGGTTGTGCCTGCTTTTGTGGCTTGACGCTATTTAACTCCTTTGAGTGCTCTTTTGAAAACTCTTGTGTATTGTTTTTGTTTGTTGTTATTTTTCTTTTTTAAAGTGCTTTGTTTGGGTTTTGGGGTTTTTAAAGAGCATACACTCTCAAAATGAAAACCTCAGCCCTAAGAGTCAGCTATTCCGATGACCTTGTCTCTCTCACGGGGTAGAGGCTGTGGGTGAGTTATGTGCTCAACAGTAGCTGGAGAAATAAAGGTTATGCTCCGAGTTCACACGTCCTCCATCCCTCCTCCTCGAAAACTCACTCACCACTGAGGACGCGGGAGGTGGGAGGTGGGAGGGGCCCGGGGCTCGAGGAAGGTGGGGGTGGGGGCTGTTGAAAGCGCAACTGCTGGTTAAAATAGCCCACGGGGAGCGGCCTGGGCCTTAAGGGGACTTCCAGCAGTAGTCTTCCTGGGGCTTTCTTTAAAAATAACTAGAAGTTGCCAGTTAGAGTCCTAAATTAGCTATGGGTTCACTTTTTATTCGTCCTATTTATTTAGCACGCGATCTCTAATTTGTGGAATTAGCATTTAAACAAGAAAGCTTGCTCTCTTAACAACAACAAAAACAGCCGGATCCCCTCAAAGCTACGCCCGCTCTGGGTCGGCCCAAAGCCCGGTAGCGTCCCCAGCCTCGAGACTCCCCGGGCTCTGGGGTCCCGCGTGGTGCCCGCCCTAGAACACCGACCTGCTATTCTTCTCCTCCGGCGATTACTAGCCGCCTCACAAGCAGCACCATATGCTGCTTCTGATCAAACAGCGAGCGACAACGGCACCGATAATTGACGAGACCCGCTAGAAATCACGCAGAAAGGGAGCCCGCTGAGACTGCAGGGGTTGACAAATCACTGCTAATAATCCTGTTAGGAACAGCGCGGCCAGCGGAGTTCGCAATAGCTTTATTTTTATAAAGTAGGCGTTGACAGTATAAAAGACAACGAGATCTCTTTTTTAAACAGAAGGCCGTGTGCATAATGGTAATTTCCCCCAGAAGCAATTCTTAGCTCAATTTGGATAGGAAATATGGGTTTTAGATACATAGATCCTCCCTCCTCTTTTCCTTTTAAAAAACTTTTCTGGTACTTTCAAGCTTAGATTCCTCTTCCGTACTTTTCCAGTTATATGAGAAATGTTCAAGGAACCATTTTCAGAGGAATCAACTGTAAGAGAATTTTAGTTTGAGGGCAGATTTGAACTATAATTGGAAAGTTTTCCTGTAGCACCCTTGACTAATTTGGAGCATGTTTTGCAAGTTAACATCAAGATCAAGCAAAGTGAAACTCCAAACCCAATAACTACTCCTCTTCCCATCATCATT